GGTTGAAATCCAGTTTTTCCAACACCATTTATTAAATAGGCTATCTTTCCTCCAATGAGGGTGGTTGGTTCCTTTGTCAAAGATGAGGTGGCTGCATACTTATTTCTCTATCTCCAGAGTTTCCAGGTTCTACGCATGGATGAAGACCTCAGGAGATGGCAGTTGAGTGAAGAATGATTGGTGATACAAACTTAGAAAGTCAATGATGAGTAGCACTTTATGTATTTCTTTCTTTCTTTTTTCTTAAAGAGCCTGGAAAATTCCTTTCCTGCCCCATAATGCAGCTCTTTGCTGCTATCACACATGCTAAGCTGTCTTGGGTTGCCTTCTTCAATATAGATGCTAGACGGTTAAATGGCTTTTAGTCAAGAAGGAATTTTTATTTCTTTAGCCTTGCTTGTTTGGACCTGTGACCCTATCTAGAGCTGAGGGCGCAATTCCCGTGGGTCTAATGAGAGATGACCTCATGCCTTTTTTTTTCTGGCCTGAGGCATAAATTCTTAACTTGGCCCTCCACCTCCATCCCAACCTTTTTCATTTGTTCTCTATCACAGTGAATAATACTTCCATCTGGGCACTTATATATGCAGTTAACCCAGAATTCACACAAGACTCTTTTCTCTGCATTAGCCCCTCTCATCCAAGTTGACCACCAGCTGTTGTCCAGGTCCCTAAGTGTTCTTGGAATCTCTGCACTTACTTCCATCTCCACACCTATTACTTGAGTCCAGGGCCCTATGCTCTCTCAGCAGAATTATCACATTGGCCACCTAATTGGTCTCCCTTCTCTTAGGTACCTATTTCCATGCATCCTTCATCCTGCAGCTGGAAAATACAAATCTTAACTCTTCTTTAAAGTGCTTTGGTGGGTGGTTCCTACTGTCTTCAAGATATGGTTCAAACTTGAATGTACAAAGCTGCAGCTGTTTAGCTGTTTACTTGTCTGGCATCATCTCCTACTCTCCCCTGGGGGTTATACGCTAAATATATTGAATTACCTGTTCTACAACTAGTGCAGACAATCTTTTGCCTACTTCCTCAACTCTGTCAACTTCTGCTCATCACGTAGGGTTTTTGGCTTAGGTGTCATATCCTTTGGGAAAACATCCTTGCTACTTCTCAGAGCTTTCCCAGGTCTTTTTTCATTTCTTTCTTTCTTTCTTTCTTTTTTTTTTTTTTTTTGGACCGGGGATCGAACTCGGGCCTTTGCATCCCAGGTCTTTTTTCTATTTCGCTTGAGTCCCAGGGGTCCGTATGTGGTACAGCGTTAGGGTTAAAACTACAAGCAATAGTGTTGACTTATCAGACTTGAAATTTCAGCTTGGTCGTTTACTAGCTGTACGACCTAGGGCAACTAAATTGTTTTATCTGTAACATGGGAATAATAGTTCATCAGTCTGTTTTGAGAATTAAATGAGATGATGTAAAGTGCTCACAATTAAATTAGTTGTTCGCTTTCTCTGCCGCTCACCTCAACCTCTCGGGGTGAGGTTTATGCATGATTGCGATTTAACGCACACTTTTTTGGTCTGGTCTCATCTTGTTTTCTGTTGGATCAGGCAGTCAAAACAAGCCAGGAGATACCTGACTTTCAGTCACGACTTTCGGTCCAGGAGTTCTCAGACTCTGAACGCCCCCAGGTGGCTCAAGCGCTCTGCAGCAAAAGCCAAGCGAACTAGGACATACCATTCCAAATTTTCGGCGAATAAAGGTCTTTTCTAACTGAATAGCTCAAGTGTTTATCAGATACCGCCTCTTTAGCTATCTAACTTTGAATTCTATCAGACCAAATAAAGTGAAAAGTAGGATTATAAGAGAATCTGTCCAGCTTCCTCCCCCATCACGCAAGGGCATTGGTACTTACCCTTCTCGATTCCCTCTCAATAATGGTACCGTCCGCGGAGGGGCGAACAGGGAGGCACTCGGAAGTCCTCAGGGTTAGCAGGCTGGTGCTAGTGTACAACCACCCCTCCCTCCCTGAAGCTGTGGTACCGCTCGCTACCCGCTGATTGGCTGCTACGGTCCCGCAGTCCGCCTCAGCCCGCCGCTCCGCCCTCAGAACAGCTTCGGCCGCCGCGCCGCTTGGCTCTCGTATTCCTTGTTCTCGGCGGGCTCTGGGGCCTCAGCGCCGCGGCCCTTAGTCATGTCGGGTAGGTGATTCCTTCAGCGAGCAGCGGCCGCAGCGAGAACGGGCCTGGCGGGGTTGGGCCGCTTTCCCGCCCACCAGAGGGCCCTGCGGGAAAGCCTCGGCCTGAAGGAGGCTGGGGGGGGGGCGGAGTCGGTGCCGCCATGTTGGACCGAGGCACGCACGTTTCCAACGCTCGCTCCCGGGCTGGAAATCACGGCGGGAGCGCTTCGGGGCCCTGTTTTTTGGTTCTGTCCTTGGAACCTAAGGAGACTTGCGGCCCCTGGGGAGGGTGTGTGTGATTCGAGGGGTTGGGGCCGTTTACGCCATCCTAGGGGCGGGGGGACCCGAGATCAGAGCATCTGCCTGAGAGAACCGGTGCGTCTGGTTCTCCGCTCCGCCTCAGATCTTTCTGCGAGGCCTCGGGCCAGTCGTCTCACCGCTTCGTTCCTCAGTTTCCCCAGCAGTGAAGTGGAGCTGGGCCTTCCCGACTCACCCATTCTTCAGGTGGGGGCCTTGACGCTCTGGGAGCCTTTTCAAAGGACATTGCATTATATGAAACCATATTTGTCGTCGTTTCTTCTGAAGTAAACACGTGGATTCGAGTTGGGGTTGTTTGCATATAATTCGGTTTCCATTTCACCTGTCGTTCTCTACCCGCTTCCCCCCAACTCCTCAGTGTTTTATGTCCCAAGCTTGGAAATGAGCATTGCAATTACTGTTAAGTTTTGTATGTATATGTGGCATCTCCCTTACAAAATACAAGAAAGGTAGTTGCTTCCACGAAGTGGTTAAATTTGTAGAGGCCACCCGTTGTGTGGAAAAGAAAAAAAAAGGCATCGGTCTCTTCAGGACAGCCAGTTTAGATCCTGCTAAACCAGAATAAAAAATATCTAGAACGTGGAGGGCCTCTTGATGTAGCACTTCTGTCCGATCACACAAGGTCCTCTGTTGGACAACATCACAGGCGGCCAAGACCAAGTATCCACTTGTTAGAGATCATCGTGAGAGTTGGATATCACTTCCCTTGTGAGAAACAAGATTTCCTGAAGCTAAGTGGTTGGGATGAAACGTATCCTTGTAGCAGAGGCTGTTAACATTTTTAAGGGCCAACCTTTTAGCATTTAAAAACCCCCAGGGACCCAGTCCTGGAGAAGCTTGGAAATGTGTGGCTAAAGAAGCAGCAGAGAGGGCCAGGGATTTAGCTCAGTGGTTCTGGCGCCTGCCTTGCAAGCGCACGGTCCCG